AGATACATTTGAGTTGTTATTCCTCAAAAATTCACGTACATCAGCGGGCTTGTGAGCCCTCACTGTTGGGTTATTCGGAAGAGCGTAAGCCTTTTCTTCTAGTCCACTCAATCACAGGGTTTTTAGAACCCCACACCATCACTAGACATCGAAGTACGAACTTCCAAAACTCTTCGATCCACGTGTAACCAAGGCAAAGAGCGATTCCCATAAACGTGCGAGACAACCCTGTTATGGTGATTCACTCAAACTAATGCTTACTAATGCTCGTTCTCTGGTTCATAAGGTGCATTTCCCCGTTGTTTCGTCTCTGTTCATCCGCCTCATATCCTCCTTATCACTGTGCCATGATGTACAAAAGAGACCGCAGATCACCTTATTAGAGGTTATAATTTATGTAGACGGAACCTCCGTCATGGACGAGGTGTCTGCACCATTCACCGAGTTCACAATCTTAGAACTACACAATTGACACTGTGACGAACCGTTATTATCACTCGATGACTCGGTTTGGATAACAATAGCCTTGAACAATACTACACTGCTAGTTGGGTGTGTATATTTGCGGCCAACATCTCCGCACCCTTTAAAATGGAACGCACCAGCGTTTTATGAGGTATGTCTCTGACCTATCTATTCATCATAAGCTATCTCAACTTGCCAAACATTTCATGGACTGAGCACAAAGCCACCGGAAAATAAGCTAAGCTTCTAACTTACCTGTATGATGGAGGATGGACTCAACAGGGAACAGCTTCCACATGTGGGCATAACAGTTGGTTGTATATTCAATAGTGACTCACTTATTGTTACTATTGGCATACTGGACTGCGTTCATAGCAGTGGTCATAATGCCGTTAGTTGCAAACTAAATCCAAATGATGTCCCAAAAGGTACCTATTGCATCTCTGCGTAACCCCCAACCATTGACAGCGCGGCAAGCGTGGGCTTGTTGCACATGTAAATACGATCCATCTCTTTGTGGGCATGCTCTCTCGGTAGCACCAGAAATATACATTATTATTACATTCGCATTTGATGCTCCGATGAATAAACTGTGTAAGCTCAACATAATAAATTGGGAAAATGTTTCTACTGGGGTGCGTTCCTTGGATTGAAGTAATTTTTATAATCTTCGAAACCAAAAGTATCGTTTCAAGCATTCTACGAGAACGTGAGCTACTGCGTTGGAACGCTGTCGTCCGGTTTAACGAAGATCCCGGACAAGTCGTATCTTAATAAAAAACGACATGAGTACAAGATAAAGACTCGCTCTAAATGTATTGAAAGGATAAAAGACTTAGCAGTGCTGTTCCGATTACACAGACCGATAATGAGGAATAAAGATCTAAGAGTCCTTCACCACTAAAAAGTAGAGATATGTTAACTAATATGAACAAATGTTCGAGATAACACGAGTGCTAAAAAATAGGACCGGTACACAACAAAACCAGCCGGCATATCTTATCACACTTGCAGAGGTGCATACTGATGGTTCTGCTGTTGTGTCGGAAGCGTTCAACTGCTATTTCACCAACACTTTCACGACCGGTAATACTGACAAAACGACAAACGCCGTATACGGGCCCGTGTATTTGCAACATTGAATTCAATATTACCTCTCTTAGGTACTAAATTATAGTTTTAAAAGTTGCTCTTCCCCGGGGTCCAGATGGAAACCTTTCGGATCTTCTATGATATAGCACTGACGATATGCCATTCTCGTTACTGAATTTTTTGTTGCCTGAATGAAATCTGGTCTCCCTCCTGACCAATGGAAAGTGATAATATCAACGTCACGACGAATAACCAGGTCTAAACATGATATCAGAAACTATGGACCAATAAATCAAATCTTAATTTTCACAATTATGGAACGCATCGTTAAAGAACAAATCCTTGGATTCTTAACACTGAACAATCTTCTGTCTCCAGCTCGGTATGGTTTTCACTAAAACGAATTTGCGAAATAGGAGCAAGACTTGCACTGTAGTTCATCTAGAGAGCAACAAAGTATTCGACAAAGTTTCACATGAACTAGTTATTCAAACGCTTTGTAACATTGATATAACAAGCTCACTGCTGAAGTGGATAGATTTACATTTCACTGGTAAGAAGCAGTCAGTTAGGGTAGGCGATCACTAATCGGTGACAAGGAACATTGCTAGCGGCGTAGCACACACGGGACTATTCTTTTTTTGATAAATGTAAACGATCAGTAACAGTAGAGTTTACTTGTTAATCGATGATACAAAAATTTTAGACAATACGGAACCACAAAGCTGCAAGTTCATTTCGGAAATACAAAACAACGTGGCCTGTTTGGAACGATAGTGCTCCAGTGCCGCAATGGAGTATCTTGACGACTAAGTGTAGTAGCATGTGTTACGAATGCTGTATTCCATTAGGAAGACTTACTCCGCATAAACTCCAACACCATATAGGTGATTCTATCTGCAACTTGGGTCTGTGTTATTCCCGCCTGCTTAATTATAAACAAATTAGGCATAACGTGGCTAAAAATCGACAAAACATGGTAATGAGGAGCAGCTTGTTTACAACAACTGATGTTAAACTACTAGGTTTCAGTTTATGCCCGACATATTCTAAAATAAACCTAGTGTCATTATGACAAGGAGCGAAAGTTCGGTACACAGGGTATCCTGGTACGCTTGTCTGATCGAAGGCTGAGACAGGTTTTCAGATGCCAATCGGGGGAGACGTTTGTTGCGCCTCCCGGTAAAGTTCATGGAGAAACGACGGCGTACCAAGGCATGCCCAGATACGACGCAGGTATTCCATAACGAGCGGCAATCCAGGATGGAACCACACCACCTGAAACTTATGCCAAGGTGGTCTATTTGGGTCCATCGCTGGCCAACTACAAGTAGACGCCAAGTAGCATTTCGGCGCACGCTGTGTCTAAAACCAGTGCTACTGAGAAACAACTGGTGCTCCGCGCACAGTTGTAGCAGACGCTCGCCGTTGTCAGTCCTTTCGAAGTTAAGCCCATAAATACCACTTAGCTGAGTTTCTGAAGAGCTCAGACGTCCTATTTGTGCGTTCATATCCCCTGCAAGTATTATGATATCTGAACTGGTTGCATTGCGTTGTAGCGCGTTCAGCTCGTGATAGAGTGCGCTCTTGGCAGCAACAAAACTGCAGTCGGTAGGAACATAAGCGAAAATCACACACAGCGTTTTGTACTCCTTCGTGAATCCACCTTAGTTGATGTCATCATACGGTATGCACGCAAACGGCTGTTCACCGGAATCCAAACACCCAACGATGGCTCAGGTTTAGAGCTGAGAATATGATACTTATCCTAGCTTGACCCGTGAGTGTTGCAATAGCGAAAGGACAAGTCGGGCGCAATTAATTCAACGAACCTTTTAAAGTCATTGATTATAGTTTCAAGCACACAGTATCCGTCAATACCCAGTGTGTCCAAGGTGCGTGCGAGAGCAGCCTGTTGACCTATTTGTCTTAGACTGCGAACGTTGAACGCCGCGAGGACAACTGGACAGCGTGGCCTTATAAGGGACGGTTGCCGATAGGTATCCGACGGGTGTTACGGGAATGTAGCTGCAGATGCTGTGACTCCAGTGGCACTTCAGTTGCTGTCAATTAAACTGAGAATTATAGAAGGAAGGTTAGTGATGGGGGTCGGGATGGCAGTAAGAGAAACATGTGCAAAATAAAGAAGGGAGGCGCCAGCAGTAGTATGTTTTCGCTTACCCGCCCTGCTGTATGCAGCGGATAAGGCGACCCTTGATAAGCTGTGATACGGCCGATGCAGGATATTGTTAGAGTTTGAAGAAATTGTCCTGGTTGTATGTGGGTCGAGATAATATCAGGGTGTCCATACCAAGATTTGAGGACGATTAGGGTCCTCAATCAAAGCCTTTGGCTCAAAACATGTCCACAAGGCAGCGCGGAGGTGGCAACAATTCGGTTTCACAGAAATCGACGACATCCCATTCCAAACGCCTAACCTGTAGGACCAGGAGTCTGAGTTTGTCTGACCTCTAAGCTTTGACCAATCTGGTGAGAGGAGCTCTTAAGGGGTCCAAGGGCCCCAACCAGTATAGCTCAATGGGTCACAGGTACACAAACCGTCGCGCCAAGTTAAGGTCCAGTCCCGTTGCGACGGATGAGGATTATTAATGTATCCACACAAAGCGAAATGCCACAAACCCACTGGCGGCAAAGTACGTGGTTTACTCAGAAGCGTTATATGAACCGAGTGGTAGAATTGGCCACCCTTCTTTCGTATGAAATGGTCTGAATAATGAGTTAAACCTGTGATGGCCTGTTTGATTTTAGGCCACACAGGAAAGCAGCCAGATTGGTTTGATGTGCCCTCCCTAATCACATAGAAAATGGCCGAAGAGATGAATCAAAGCGTTGATGTCTTGAATGCTTTGAAGGCACACTGGTACATTGCCACATGGGTGTGGAACTGCGAGTGAAACCTTTAAGAAGAGTACCCCGCATGAGAGCAGGTCCATGAGAGACAGTTCCACAAATGACCGTGTTACTTTAATTGAACATTTGTATATTTCTTTATCACTTTAAAAGCTGCTGCAGCCCTTGTTCAATTTGAATGCACTTGTTCCCTTTTGCGGTTGCATTGTTGTAACATGGTTGTAAAATCTTTAACATGCGAGGGAGGACATGTGTTGTGAAACTGAGAATAGACATTATTGGTATTATTATTATTATTATGGTTAGTTCCCCAATGTTCAAAGGAAAATGTGTGGGCAGGCTCCAAATTAACCGTGGCTCCCATCTACGCGACCTCTATTTTTACTGCTTGGGGGTTCATATTGCATATATGGTGTGTGAATGGAGCTGTGGTTGGTGCAGGACAAGCCAGCCATGGTTCCCATGGAGGTCTGGAGCCATTCGTGATCGGGAAACAAATGTTGACATCTGTGAATCTCGCATAGCTGCAAGTATACAGAAATGTGGACGAAGTAAAACTGAAAGATACTTACGTAAGGAGATATTCAGATGATCAACGGAAGCCAAAATGTGAATGTTTGGGATGGAAGCCAAACGTGCGAGGGTCGATTGAGCCCCAGTATTCCGTAGTCCCGTACCGTCCAGATTGTGAATGAGTATATAGAGAGGAGCTTCGCTTGCATCTAGGTGTAACGTCCAAAGTGGGAATGAAGAGGGGCGTGAGTGACAATTCCAAATGAGGATAAGTAAACAACCCGGTGTGTTCAAAATCGAAATTGATAAGCGGATCAAAGTGGAAAGGTTGACAAGTTTTGATGGTTTAAACAAAGAACGAAGGAAGAGTGCAGCCACAATTCGAGCCTGCAATTTAGCAACAATCGTTCGAAAATAGTTGTTCAAATCCCAAGCATGAATATGCACTTTAACATTCACATATATGCAATCATTGCATACCATTGCGTTTGTCGACTACTACCAGCAGTAGATAAATAGATGGTTTATTCTCGACACTGCAAGGCACACAGGCATAGGCAGGCTCATCGTAATACTAATTGCTAAAAATAGAGAGCTAGTAGAAATGCGTGTGTTGTTCCATCGTAATTACTTCGGGCACATGCGCAGAGTCCCTTCAGTGACTCCTGAGCGCCTGCTGCATATTACAACTGCGCCATAGACCATTCGAGTGCAAGGTTTTCCCTGTATCTGTAATCCGCAAAGTGAATGTCTAGAAAATGCTTGAATTTTGACATCGATTTCGCTTGAGCAATTATCGTATTCAAACTGTTCCAATATAACACCGCTCGGCACTCGAAGCATAGAGGGTGAGCCACCCGCTTTAGGTCCGGTACTTCTAGCTTGTACCGGTGTCTGTGAGTGCTGTTTGGTGCGTACACGTGAAGCAGTGGCCCAGCATGTTGAAGGGACCCAGATGCGATATGGGATGCGTCATAATGAGCTCAACAGTAAACTGACGGTATGGCAGGGTGCACAGCACTAGTCGTCTGCACCGGTCTTCGTACGGCACACACCGTAAACTGGGGGTGAGCCTGGTGGCAACATACTGTCCAGTTCCGGTCTTTACGCCTCGCCAAGGGTGATCGGACAATAAGCGGCTTATCCGTACTTGAGTATCGGTCATAGGATGGGAGAGAAGAGGCGCGTGGCAAGCTCTTTAGACTAAACACAGAAGCTGCGTTTGAGCGCCCAAAGTATGCGCAGTCCGTTTCCATGTAGCTTGTTTGTGTTGTCTACGGACTTTAAATTGCAGCTTGGGAATGAGCCGAGACCCTTCAAAGAAGGTGTGGGATGCAGGCGGTTGGCCTGTCAGTATGTACGTAGGCCCATCAACACCGTTCCCCAGGCTCATATATAACAAGTTGACTGGGTTGACCGTCAGATCGATATCTGCAGACCACCTAGACAGGAGGTCGACGTCATGCTGACGTACGTCACAGTCATCGGGCGCATCAGTTATTCTTCAAATCTTCAGTCCGTCTGCAAACATGGCACGAGGCAATTGAAGAAGTCGAGGCAATTCGCTGATGCGGAATAATAATAAAATTGCCCTCAGTACTATACCTCGGAGTAGACTCTTGTGGAAGGACACCAGTCCGCTGGTGGTCATCCACCTGTACTCTCTATTTCCGTCCAATAAGGCAGTCACTGATCTACTTGTGCAGTGAGTCTTCAACACCGCACATCCTCAGCTTGTTAAGGTGGACCTCATGATTCACTTTGTCGGAAGCTTTACTGAAATCAATGTAGATAACATCCAATGACTTCCAGGGTTCAACGCTTGCAACCATCCATGCCGCGTCAAATCCGGTACTTGTACAAAAGCGTTACAAGTCAGCCGGTTACAAACTGGATCTGTATGCATATAAATATATAGGTGTATATTTATGCAGACAAGTTGACTGCATTACTTCGTGTGAGTCTGCATTCGTGCTTGTGCTTGATCGAGTCACCAGTGCAAGAAGAGATCATAGGGACTTTTCGAAGTGGATAACTTGTCGCAGAACTCGGTATTTCAGGGAAAAACGGTTTATTCGGCAAAGCAAACTCAGCAAAAATGACAGCTTGACAAGCATGTAGGAACCTCGATATAAATAACTAATTCAGTTCCATAACTAACCACGCTGCTGCACTCATGAGATTCGTTCTTTGAATCAGCTAAACAAACCGGCTTCAGCGAACCAATCAGCACGTAGACGGAATATTCGCAGGCGTCCAATCAACTGCTCCGTTCGCTTGCGGCACGCTAACCGCTTGCTTGCACAATCCTAATATATCCTCCCCTTTTTCTGGATCAGCTGCATCAATGTTGCAGTAGACTCCCTACGCTCTTCCGCTCCGCGTCGTCTTTGTTGCCTCTGTCATTGTGACCTCTCTGTAAGGCGTCAAGTGCTTTGCTGCAGGTTTACCTTCTCGTTCCCGGTGTCATTTCAATTGCACTCGGTTCCTTCTGATTACCTTCCCTCTGGTACTGACTTCAAAAGATCTTTCTCCAACCTTCGCGGTCACCACACCTTTCTCCAATCGCTCGCTGACACTCGGTATTGGTTGGATCCACACTTCATCATTTACTGATAGCTCCGGTAGCGCCCGGGTCCAGCGGTCGTAATACCGTTTCTGAGCGACCATCCGTTTACTTAGGCCCCTTTGCAGTTGCTAATGCGATGCCTAGACAGGGTGTAAGAGTTCAGCAGACACAGGCATTAGGGTCCTTGTCCTTCTGCTGTGCAAACGTTGCACTGGACTGAGACCTATGTTCGGTAATGACGTACTGCCAATCTCTAACAACATAAGATACGGGTCCTCATGAGTGGCTCTGGCTTTCGACCACAGCTTCTTGGCTTGTTTGACTGCTGACTCTACTTTTCCGTTAGAATGCCTGTGATACGGGCACGTCTGTCGATGCGAAAATTCCCACTTGTTCGCGAAGGTCTGGAACGCAGCACTTGTAAATTTCTGGCCAGTGTCGGAGGTCAGTTCCTCCGGTATGCCGTGTCTGACGAACTGACATCTAAGCTTGTTGATGACTGCTTCCGTGGTGGCAACGATTAGTAGATCGATCACAAATAGTCACTGTAATAGTCCACAGTGATTAAATAGTCTTCCCCATTGTCACAGAACAAGTCTGACGTTACTTCTTGCCAGTGTCGATCTGGAATCTCACGCAATATCATTGGTTCCTTGGCCTGGATTGCATCGCAGAACCGGCAGGCTGAACAACTTGATCCATGATCTCGGATTTGACTTGTCATCCCGGGCCAGAACATCAGTTCGTGTGCCCTACTAATACTGTAGTTGACACCCAAGTGGGCTCCATGAGTGTGTTCTAGCATTCTTTGTGAAGCGGCGGTGGGATCATAATGCGAGTTCCTTTGAACAGCAAATAGTCATACACCGTTAGTTCAGCCCGAAAGTTGAAGAACGGCGTTAATTCCTTCGGAAGTTTGTCGTTAGTATACGACCATCCCTTCAAGATCACGTCGCGCAACGCCACGCACGTCGTGTCTGCCTCCGTATGATGCCTTATCTTTTTCAGGAGAACTGCCGTTACCACCAGATGTTGTACCAGATTGACTGCCTCCAGCTCTTCCTGTTGGTGTTCGACTATTGGAAGATGAGCAATCGACAGAGCGTCCGCGATGAACACTTGGGTCACCGGAGTGTACACCAGATCCATGTCGTAGTGCTGAAGCCGGATAAGCATCAGTTGAGTTCGAGGGACAATGGGTAACGGTTTACTAGCCACCGACACGGGCGGTTTATGGTCAGTGCACACTGTAGTCTTCTTTCCAAACGCGTAGTAGTTTAACCGTTCCATTGCGTAGACGACAGAGAGCATTTCCTTTTCGATCTGAACATAGTGCTGTTCCGCCACCGGGAGCGACCGACTGCGAAAATATAAGGGTTTACTTTGCTGTAGGAGAACGGCACCTATTCCGCTTTGGCTGCTTTCACACTGCACCTCCAAAGTTAGAGCCGGATCATAGTAAGCAAGTACTGATGCGCAGGTAAAAAGACTCTTGATGGTTGTAAAGATTGTCTCCTACTCTTCTCCTTAACTTCACTTTACACCTTTGTGAGTCAGTCTCCGGATGGGCGTTATGATTTCAGCAAGTCTTGGTAAGAACCTGCTCAAATAATTCATGATGCTGAGCTCGGCAGTTCGACAGTCAAATTGCCGAGCTCAGTGAACACTCAGACCACCAACTGAACAACCTGAGCTACCAACATTTGCTTCTATATCACAATTCATGATACCATTTAAACGATTAACCGTCTTCACATCCTTAGGTCGTGGCATCTCCTGCACTGCCTTGATTTTTCCGGGAGCGATCTTTATGCCCTTGGATGTCAGAAGGTGCCGATAAGAAATCACTTCCGGTTTCCAGGGCTCAAATTTCTCGAGTTCCGCTTTATCTTCTTTTGCAAGCATCACTGCAGTAACCGCTTCCGAACAATTTCGCTCGAAACATGCAAACCAAACGGCAAACGTAGCCAGCGAAAACGCCCGAACTTTGAGGCAAACGTCGTCAGGAAACAGGATTCCTCATCTAGGACCACGTGCTAGAACGCCGACGAAAGATCAACCTTGGTGAAGTACTTCGCCTTAGCCAAACGCCGCAGGACATCTAAAGTTGGCAGTGTATAGTGTTCTCTGCGCAAAGCTGCAGTTAACGGCTTAGGATCTAGGCACGGACGAAAAACAACGTTCTTTTTCGTAACAATCGTGACTTGGCTAACCCAGTCTGTGGGCTCGTCAACTTTGGCAAGTACGCTCAATTGCGTCAAGCTATTTAATTCGGTGACGAACTTATCACGTAAAACAAAAGAAACCCTTCTAGCTGGCAACGCCATCGGCCGTAATGACGGATCTATTGAGAAATGAACGGAACCTTCAAACCTCCCCAAACCTGGGTTAAACACTGACGGATACTGTTCACTAACAGATCTCCGCTTCAAATTAATGCACAAAGCATTCATGATCAAAATGATTAAAGCCAAGACATTGTATGGAATCAATGCCGAGAATCGGTGTGAGGTCTTCTTCCACGACCACGAAATGCAACTGATGTGAAGATCCCTCTTCGGGATTGATCACTGTGACTGTGGCCAAACGTTTCGGCTAAGGTTCGAAACCGTTCCACATGCGTAGGACTCCCTGATCAGG